ACGTTACATAGGTCCAAAAGTGACGACAGTTACGAGGGAGGCAGCTTTCAGGCGTCAACAACGATGACAGTTGCGAGGATGGCGACCCCAAGGGGCCCCATCCCTGTGACTGTTACACTGTTGAAGCATTGGGGGGGGGTGAGGGGGGGATAGCATGGGGGTGGGTGGGAACGCGGAGCGCAGACGCATAAAGTGTAGGGGTTACAGGAAATTTTGGGCTTATAGAGAGGTGTAAGTATCAGGATGTAACGTTCAGGGCTTAGGATCTGGAGATATTATTTGATATTGCTCACAATAGTGGAGACTCAAATGGAACATGTCACACAGGCTGTAGTTGTTGAATGCCTTCCTTGTTGCCGACAGCTTCTGGCTACAGCATTTGAGATTGCGAGAGGTGCTTCTTGAACCCCACGCGAAAATTCACAATCCTTCTGTTTGTGCTCCGTTCTGAAGGCGGCAAGCATCAAGGACGACCCATGTCAGAAGTGGCTGCTCAAGATCCGGCATATTGCCAATGGATTCTGCGAACGGCAAAGGCCGCCTGCCTATGGCTTGTGGACCTCCTGACCATGCTGTGATCTGCGATTTGTTATGCTGGCTTGCCGTGGACAGAAGCAGTGCCCACGTACTGTTCAGACTGTGTCTTTCTCATGTTGTCTTTCTTGAGTTTTCAGAAGCTTGATTGTTAGTCTTTTGTTATGTCGTTGCAGGCATGTTCAGCAAAACCATCCAAAAGGAACGACTTCACTCGTCGCTGCCAGAAGACAAACAACAATGCTGCAGCTAATGGCAGCCCAGAATGTGCAGGTGGTTTTGAGAAGTGCACGTTATCCATGGAGCCTTGCTGAGCCCCACTGTCAAGCTTGAGCAGCTGCCCGACAGGATGATTCTGCTTCACTGTCACTCCGCATTCGAGCTCACTGGCTGAAAGAAAACATGCCGCAGCTGCAGGAAGACTCGGGCAAGATGCTTACCTGACTAAGAGACCTGATAGCTCGCAGTCAGGATGATGCAGAGAGCCCAGAGGAGGCAGAGCTGACACTATACTGGCTCATGCTCCTGTCCTGCAACCGCAGGTTAAATCAAGTGCTGCGCAAAAACAAGCCTTGAAGTCCGAGTCCGCTTCCGGAGCTTTCTTTGGCAGCCGTGTCCACAGAACAGCGCATACACTAAAGCAGCAGGGTCTTCTGGCAACCCTGGTCAGGAGCAAAAGTCCGCCTCGAGCGAAGGTGCTGCGTCTGGCGCAGAGATCTTCAGAGTTGCTATGTACGTCGTAGGCAGTCAGTAGATTGGGTGGGAATCAAATGTCCTGTTGATTTTTGTTGCCTTAGTTGTGGCCAGCGCTTATCTGGTAAGCTGTGCGCATTTCCCGAATTCTCCGGATGTTTTACAGCAAGAACATGTACTCCGCTCGCATGTCAGCCTAGTCATGAGAAAGGCCCACGACTTTCCAGGGCAAGGCATGAGTATGTTTTGATGTTCTGGCAGTGCCAGTGTCGGCTGGATGCAATCAGAGGAACAGCAACTCCTCAAGTAGATGTGCTAATGTGAAGGCAGACGATTTCTTTCACAACTGGTGGCAGAAGATCCTTCTTACTGCCAATGGATTCTCCAAGCGGCGGAGGACACGCCAGCTCACAACTTGGTTTGGTTGGTGCAGCTGGATGCTTGGGTAGTACAACCTGCGAACGGTTTTTCCATCCTAGACCGTGAACCATGAATCTATGCCATTGGACATGTGAGGAGGAGCATGCCTCTGACAAGCAGCGAAGTCAAGCCAGCTGGCTTCTGAAACATGCGCCGCACTTGAAGGCGGCCCTGAGCATGCCGTAAGCTTGTGCCATGGCCGTTTTCAGTGCTGCAAGTGGCATTGGCATGTACGCAGATTTGTCAAATGTCGGGCAGGTTTTGGATTTGATCTTCCTTGCATGGTGTGCAGGAGACGCCCGTCGTGCTCATGAGGAGCGTTCACAAGGGCATACCGCTGCCGCAGGTTGTCGCTGAAGCGGCTTGGAGGTTGAACGGCAAAAGTTTTTGCGGGTATTCCAATGGAACACAAACAGAGACGTGCTCTCATCTTCTGTCCTTTGTAAATCAACACGTTGCGAGGTTCTTGCCATTTTCTTCCCAAAGGAATCTTAATTTGTAGCCCACGCATTGCGGAGGGGCAGGTTTCCAGTTTGGATCATATCAGAACACAGCACTTGTTTGGTTAGCTAAGCGCTTTCTGAGCATCTTGCTGCAAAGCATGGACTTCGCAGCTACATGCAGCGTTTTTTGGGTTGAAAGCGGGTACACCGTCGGGCACATGACCCCAAAAGTCAGCCTCCGCAATCTCACGAAGAAGGGAGTCAGAATAGAGAGACAAAGGGTGAGGGGCCCAGCCCCAGCGCGCTCGTAAGGCAGAGCCCGTAGAAGAAGAAGACGAAGAAGAAGAAAAAAGAAGAAGAAAAAGAAGAGAGAGAGAGAGAGAGCCGGACAAAGAAAGGGCCATGAGCCAGGCTATGAACAGTCGTCCTTTTGAGAATTGTACTATGGGATGACACGAAATTCAACTTTCCTGGTAGACACTGGCAAGGGCAAACCGTTTCACACCTTGCAAGGAAAGCACTTGCAAAGCAAAAGCTGCATGAATGGACGGTAAGCTAGTCTAAGAGTTTCACGTGCTCCCCTAGTCCCTGAAATCAGGTCCATTCTGAAGCAACGAGGGGTAGAGTAACCTAGTTTGCCCAACACGGGCTGGGCAATGACGCCCGGGGGAGGGAAATCTTTCCCTTCCCCATAGCCTGAATGAAAGAAAGAAAGAAAGAGAGCCGGAGAGGGCATGTGGCAGGTGGAGCTGAGCTCATCTTCTTGTGCTAGTAGATGTGGCTAAGCGTGAGAGCCTGCAGCTGCCATTGCCAGTATGAGGATCCGGGATGGTGCCGCTTCGTTCTGGACCAGGAGGCGTGGAAGTCTCAGCACTTTCTTTTTGCTCAGACAGAAGTCATGCTGAATGGCATCCTATGCAATGACAGGCCAAGTCCAAAGCCTTCGCGTCAGCGGCCGTTGCTCGCTTGAACCTAGTCGCAGGGGGTCATGCAGTCGTGACATCGGGCATGGAGGTCTGCACGTTGGGTCACAAGCAACGTTTGTGTATATGGTCACGTGTATATGTGCATCTATATATTGATATGTTCATGTTTATGTACAAATGCACGTGTTTTTTTGTTAGCATTTGATTTCCCAATGTGGGCATGAACATGAGGTTGTGCTCGGGGAAGGCTCCTAGACTTTGATTCGAGTGGCCACACCTTGGTCCATGACTTCTCATGGCCAGTGTTTTGCTTCATTAGCTTGTGCTCTTACACGTTGTTTTCTTCCCCACTGAAGATTGCACCCTTCAGTCTCAATCGACTTTAGTTTCGGGCCGGACCACCATCCGTGGCGCCTTCCACCTGCCAAGGCACATCTAGTCCGGGCCAGATTTGCACACTATTTAGCCTTGATTCTTGACAACTCCTGAGAAACTTTGCTACAATAAATGCATCATACATCATCCTTGATGGACCATACCCGTTGCTGTTTCAGAACCTCTGACATGTGCATATTGAGTATTTTGGACTTGCACCCACCGGCGTAGCTTTGCGCTTGATGGCGCCGAAGACGTGAAATGGTTTGATTGTTTTCAGCTGCGACATGCAACGCGTGAGACGAGGAATGGCTTCGCGAGAATGTTCCCGAGCTGCTCAAAGTTTCGAAGGTTCTTCGTGCCCAGAGTTGCCAGACACCGTATGAGCTTGTTTTTGGCAGCGTGCGCTTCCCAGTTGCTTCTCGGTGCTCGAGCTACGTTTCATGAGCTACTTTGTTACCACAAGTCACCAGCGTGCAGGCTAACGTTCTTAGTCATGAGAGTGTCTTTGTATTTCAGTTGCCGTGCTCAATGCCTAAACTGCTTGCTGGCAGCCAGTATCCTTCCCAGAAGGCCCAAGTCCCAACAGGTGCATACATTGGGGACCAACATGTTCGCAACAGATACTTGAATCGATAAGATTTTTGAGAACTGGCCTCCACGCATGCGCGGCAGGACGATGCTGCTGCTGTTCAACAGATGAGTGAAAGAATGCTGGCGCAGTATGGCCAATGGTTTGTGGTGCGTTGCGGCAAGCATCGGATGAAAACATTTGCGGCCATACTCGAGGACAGTTCGCAACATACTGCGCTTGTGAACAGGTGCTTCCTCGACGCGAGCATTTACTTCGCAGATTAAGCGCACGTGTTTAGCTTACTCTTCAATAAAGCTCCTTGCTTGACTTGTCCAGAATGGCTGGCAGTATGCTGACGAGAGGCTTGTGGAAGGTAGCCTTCGCTGTTTGCTTTAAGGGAAGAGTGATCGTTTAGACCCCACAGAAGTTTGGAAAGTTTTACTTCCTGCGTTTCTCGGGCCTTGGCCAGGCTGGCCAGACCATCAGCCTCCTTTTAATTAGGAAATACTACTATTGTTATGTTATTACGATTATTAGTCTTAGTATTGTTGTTATTATTATTATTACTATTATTGTGTTCATGGAACCTGCATGCATGATGTGCAGGACCATGCGCCTTTCGTAAGATGGATCGAGCAAGTCGTGGAGGGTACCGCCAGCATGTGTTACATGCATACAGGCATACGCCTTCCCGTGCCAAACAGTCTACCTAGAACAAGAAAGCCAACAGAACAGTTATGCACGACCTGGATGCAAACGAGCTCGATGATTGGGACATTGATAGGCTCTCGCCGTTCACCGATGTGTGAAGCGGTGAAGCGGTTTGAGACGGTGACCCATGCTCCTCACCATCCAAATCAGTGGTGTTATGAATGAATCAACAGCGTCTTTCTAGGTATCCCTGTATCTCTGAGCGACATCCGTTTTGTCTACTTCTTTTACGCCAGAGGCCATTCTGTGACAGGTGGAGATGCCTACAAGAACTACCAGCTATTGGCCGCCTACGCCCTTCAGCAGCGGGGCCAGGACATTCGAGTATATTCTAACTGATTAGTCTAGGGTAGGACTATATTTTTGTTTGGGTGCAGTTATTGTGAGGGAGGAGTCTCCAAAAGTTAGGGGTCCCCTCTCGGCGGTCCCTGCACTAAGAGGGTTGGAGCAGTTTGCTGGTATATATCAGGGGGGCCTTCATTTTGCGCGCTCGGCATTGCATCCTCTAAAGTAGTTGTGGCTTTGGTTGTATGTTCTGCATCCTACAGCTTGTTACTTTGCCATCTCGTTCCGGAGCACATGTAGCTAGAATTGGCATGGAGGTATGGACAAGCTATGGAAAGCTTCCAGGATGGAAAGCTTCCATGTCTTGTGTGTCATGGGGTTTGAGGAACAAGCGTGTGGCAACTTGTGTAGGAGTTATATCATCATAAGACCAAGGTTGAGATTTCATCATGCCGAGAGTCCGTAGGCAAACTAATCCGGCTGCTAGGATTCAAGCAACTGACGTCACTGACAGCACGTATTCAAAACTGCGCGTGACCCGGCCTGTGACAGTAAAGCCCATGCACAATCCATGTCAGACTATGAGAGTGTCAGCTATGTCGGAACACTGGCTGGCTGAGCATCATGATCCACGGGTTAGGCAGACCCGCGCGTGCTCGTGTCTTGAGTTTCACTTAGGTCCATGACAGGTCTCCAGTTGCAGGCTTACTTGCAGAACAGAGGAGCCACTGTTGAGGACTTGGAGCCGCCCCTTCTGGAAAGAAAGTCGAATCACACAGAAGTTTCAATCTCACTCATACAGCTTTCCCTGAACCTTCTATACGCAGAGGAGCCAACAGCCTCTCAGCCAACGGCGCAAAGCATGATGTGAGCTGGGCATGCGCGAAGGCTCCAAGTCTCTGCGAGTCAGAAATCAAACATAATGGTTGATACTACTACTACTACTACTACTACTACTGCTACTGCTACTGCTACTGCTACTGCTACTGCTACTGCTACTGCTACTGCTACTACTACTTCTTCCATCATTATAAGTACTACTATTACTACTATACGAGTACTGCTATTCTTATTTGTCCTATTAATTTTTACTATTTCAACAGCATCGCCCTAACACCAACTTCGGGTTGGTGCCAATCTCAAGCTAACCTGGCAGAAGAAGGGCCTTCCGGCGTGGACAATTGTGACAGCTCGGCCAGCAGCATGAAGGCCAGTATGTCTTTGTACAAAAATGAGCTCGGATGGCTACATGAGACAAGATTTTTAGCATTCCGCTTTCACTTAGAGATGTGTACTTGAAGGCGAATATCATCCGAGTTCGTGGGTAGGGCATCAACAGCTACACGAGCTGTTGCCTATCGAAGCCTATGGGGCGGTGGTTTTCCGGAGACCGACCCTTCAACTTTGCGGGGGTGACAGCAAGCTGGGGGCAAAAAAAGATCGACAGTTGGAACGCTCAAGGCATGATTGCGAGCCCAGCTTCATTCAGAGATACCCAAAGTACAGCAGGAGGGCATGGGCGCGCTTGCTTACAGGCACGTTCTCTAGCTCGATTAAGCTACCTTTCTGAATGGCTTGGTCACTTACTCCAGTCTCTTGCGTGCAGATAGCTCTCTTGCAGCAACCAACTGATTAAGTATTGATATGCAAGCCGGGCTGTTGACAGAACTGTATACATCGCTAGCGATGGGCTAGCCGAAAGGTGCGCAACTACAAGCATTCAACGTCACATCATGACCCCTGCAGTACGCATTGGAATCTTTGTGGCGGGTGGTGTGCGCACACTGAGGTTAATTCCCGAGCTCTACACCTAGCATTGTAAATTCGAAGCCTTGGAAGCAAAACCTTACCCCAGATACCCGCCAAATGTCAAACCACGGCTGTTCTTGGCCCAGTGTCCATCAAATCCTTGCGCTGCGCATTGTGGCGCTGACAGCAGGACCATCTATCACTTACATAGGCGGAAATCGAAATTGTTTGCAGGTAACATCCTACTTGCATTTTGCGTGACTTTGTACTATTCTACATCACGCTAGTACGTGGCAATTTGCCTACCTAGGGCAATTATCGAGAAGAGATGAGAAGAGCTTTGTCAGAGAAAGAAAGAGAGAGACTGGGAGAGAACTTAGTGTACTGTAGGGTTCTCTGGATATGCTCTCGTGTTGCGAAAGGTTGGCCGAGGGAGTGTAGCGGACAGTCGTTTCACCTCCCGTAGAAGGAGACAGGGTCAACGGGGGACTGCAAACCAGGGGGTTGAACCTCTGGGCTAGGTTTGTGATGTCTAGGTTCCGGGCCCTTGTTATGCAGGTTTGCAGTCCTCAATTCGTCAGTATCTCAGTTCTCCTTGGAGGGACCGCGGGCAATGCGAACATGGGGGCTCGAGGCGTGTGTATAGCATTGGAAAACACAATCTTTTGGAGAGGCGTGGTGCAGAAACCTGCCTCAGCCTCACGTCGGCTAGTAAGATGCTAGCAGGACTATGGGTCTCAGATGCCGCGGACAGACTTGACAAACATCTGCAAAAATTAGCATGCATTCCGAGAGACGTTGCACGCACGGAGAGGGCTGAGTTGTCCTTTATCCCATAATTTCCAGGCCCCTCAAGCTTTTCAATTTCAAAAAACAAGGGGGGTCCCCTCCCCAACAACGAAGGGTCTAACTTGGAGAGAAGATGTCAACCTTTGGATTTTGCCGATAGCCTGATTGTTCATATATACGCCAGATTTCTGCTACACACCACCCACCCTATTCTTCACGCGCTTCAAGCTCAAGAGGACATGGCGTCGCCGTCGGCCGTGTTCCTTAAGAAGCTGGAGCGGTGCTTTCCAGTGCAGTTCTGGGGTGCACGGTCATTTGGATCTCTTGGTTGACCAACATGGCCAAGCCATGATCTGAGCCTTAGCGGGTTTGCGGCGATGTTGAGACGGATAGATTTTCGTGCGCGGGCTTGGTATCTTTTGGTCGTTCATCCACATAATCCCCGGAAGCATCTTGGCATGGCTCACTGAATTAATACCCTCATGATGCCACATCATCCTTGGAGCCCCCAAGGGCTAGGAATCCCCCTAGGTTTGTGTGTGAGTGACTGTCAACACTTGCATATGGGGCAGCAAGGCAGCAGTGGTCCAGGAATTGCTGCTGACCTTTTCCAGGGAAAGCGGACTTGCCTTTCGAAATTTGCTAGGCAGGGGCAGCCGAATAAACACGTATAGGGAAGATCTCGATAGGCACATCCTATGCAAATCCTGAGGGAATTAAAGCCGAGGCTAAACCCAGCTTTCCAGGTTTGAGAGTCTGTGTGCAAGAGTATCACGGCCAACTAAAGTAAAGTCTAGAAATCTTGTAGTTTAAGCAGCACAATCAGAAGTAGACAGAAGATGCAGTTCAAGGTGCGGCTTGTGCTTGGGTGTTTTGTTAAAGTTAGATCCTCTACAAGATTGCCAGGAGACCTTCCTCAAGCGGATCCGAAAGTGGGATACAGAGTGCCTTGGCCTGGTCCGTTTCTGATGTTACAAAAAATCTGGCAAGGAAAAAAGCAATCCTCTGGTCCGATTTACTACAAGGTTCCTGAAAAGAATTGTTAATTTCTGTTTCCAACAATCCTAATGTTTAGCTGAAATTATAATTTCTACTGGGGCTTCAAATCCCTTAGAGTTTAGTTGCCATTGTAGACAACATGAGTGCTACGTAATATGTCCACTTAGTTGCCAAGCCTTCGGGTACTCATTTTTGTTTGGCGGATCAAGCCAGTCGTTGTACGTGAATGCCCCTTTGCTTTCTTCTGGATTTTTTCTCCAGCTTAAATGAGTACCAGAGCTCTGAGGGCTAAACTGTTCCTTTAACTACGCATACAACATCGACATGAGTGAAGTGCACATCTTCAATCCCAGTGCCCTGGTGATTTGATGAGATGTGCGGATGGAAGTAACGGAATAAGGGAACATATTGGGCTTATATGAGCTATAGTCTAAACTCCTTCAAGCGGAGTTATATAGGGGATTTTACAGGGGAGTCTTATAGGGGTTATTGAGGGGGACACAGGGGGTTTGGACTATAGCTCCTATAGGGATAATGGAAAAGATAACGGAAGCGGCCTGGACTCCATTTCGCCAAGACGGTGACCCGTGGTTGGGTACGGCCCCCACTCTGCGGCAGTTGGATACTACTTCTATTTACACTATATAGCTTTTAATATGACCCCTAAATATAGACTGTTACAGGGTGGGGGCAGTACCCAAAGCATTGGCTCCAGGTTCCTTTGCATCGGGAAGAACGCTGCTGAGGTCCTGCAGGGCTTGGATGTCTCGCTGGCAGTTGGATAACTGTTTGGTTGTCCTGCGAAGACATATCGAGACCTATATAGCTGCTTCTGTGCTGGGTGAGAAAGATTTGTGAGTGCATTGCACACTTGACGTCCTTTTGTTAAGGCCCTGCCTTGCACAGGTTTCGCAAAGTTTCTCCTCTATAAATCCCCGCGCTCGCACTGTGCTAAGTTTCAGGAACGGCTTAGAAACAAGAGGACTTCAAGTAGAAAGCCCAAAATACAGTGCAGCATTGGCAGTCAAGATTGCAACCCTTGAAGACCCAGGTTTTTGTTGCCTTGCCCAAAAAAGTGGAATCCCAAGCCAACATGAGAGTCTGCTAACTGCCGAAGTGAATGAAAGTCCTTACAAGCTGGACTTTTGAAAATGGCTTTGCACTTGGGGTTACGGTTAGTCTTCGTTGGAAAATCACACCTGCTGTGGGGTGGTCTTGCTGTGTCGGCATGGCTGTGGTGGCCGTCGGAAAGCTTCAGGTGTGGCCTTACAGACACCCCGGCCTGAATGAATCTCCTCTGAGTGTAGGATCCAAGAATTTGCGTTCAGAGCTTGGGTTCAGGGATTCCGGTTTGGACTCGTCCTGAGACATAGTCCCCCTTACGTAGATAGAATATGGGGTAATATTAGGGTTATATCGGGGTTATATGGGGATAATGGAAAAGAAAATGGAAACTACTGCATTGGAATGATTTTTCACCATGGCCCATCAGA